GCACCTCTCTGAACCTCGGTTTTCTCATCTGCCAAATGAGGATAATAATAAAATGATAAATGAAATAATGCTGCAAAGTGTCTGGCACAACGCCCAGATACCACTCCACCTCCAACAGGATGGCATTTTTTTGAGGCAGGATCTCACTCTGTTGCTCAGGCTGGAGTGCAGTGACATGATCACAGATCACCGCAGCCTCCACTTCCTGGGCTCAAGTGTCCTCCCACCTCAGTGTCCCCAGTAGCTGGGACTACAGGCGTTCGCCACCACACCCAGTTAACCTTTGTTTGCTTGTTGTTTGTCTGTTTGTTTTTGTAGAGACGGGGTCTCACTATGCTACCCAGGCTGTTCTCAAACTCCTGAGCTTAAGTGATCCTCTTGCCTCAGCCTCCCAGATTGCTGGGATTATGAGCATGAGCCACTGCACCTGGCCATCTGTTATTTTTTTCTAAGACAGAAAATAACAAGTGTTAGTGAGAAAGTGGAGAAATTGGAACCCTTGTACATTGCTGGGAGGACTGTAAAATGGTAGAGCCACCGTGGGAGTACAATATGGCAGTCCTTCAAAATTAAACACAGAGTTATCATATGACCCAGGAATTCTACTTCCGTGTATGTACCCAAGAGAACTGAAACAGGAACTTGAACAGATATTTGTTCAGCCCAATGTTCATAGCAGCATTATTCATGATAGTCAAAAGGTGGAAGCAACCCCCGCATCCATCCATGGATGAACAGATACACAAAATGTGATAAAGGCACCCGATGGTATATTATTCGGCCTTACAAATGAAGGAAATTCTGACACACGCTACAACGTGGGTGAACCTGGAGGACAGTATGCTGAGTGGGATAAGCCAGACTCCAAAGGACAGATATCATATAATCCGACCTGTATGAGATACCTCCAGTAGTCAAATTCACAGGGACAGAAGGTAGAATGTTGGTTGCTGGAGGCAGAGAGGAGGAAAAAAAATGAGTCATTGTTTGATGGGTACAGGGTTTGAGTTTGGGAAGATGACAAAGTTCTGGAGATGGACCGGTGAGGGTGGCACAACAATGTGAGAGTACCGAATGTCACCAAATTGTACACTCAAAACGGTTATGATAGATTTTTACATTATGTGTATATGCTGCACTTTCAACATCTGTCCCCTGCAAAACTCATGTTGAAGTTTTAACCTCCAATGCGGCAGTACTGAGAGGTGGTCTTCTTTTTTATTTATTTATTTTTTTCTTTTGAGATGGAGTCTTGCTCTGTCACCCAGGCTGGAGTGGAGTGGAGTGCAGTGGCACAATCTCAGCTCAGTGTAATTTCCACCTCCCGGATTCAAGCTCAGGGAGGTGGAGATTACACTGAGCCGAGGTTTTCTCCTGCCTCAGCCTCCCAAGTAGCTGGGATCACAGGCATGTGCCACCTGGCTAATTTTTGTATTTTTAGCAGAAGCAGGGTTTCACCATGTTGGTCAGGCTGGTCTGGAACGCCTGACCTCAGGTGATCCACCCACCTTGGCCTCCCAAAGTGTTGGGATTATGGGTATAAACCACCATGCCCAGTCTGAGAGGTGGTCCTTTAAGAAGTGATAGGGTTATGAAAGGTTTGCCCTCATGAATGGTTTAATGGATTCATGAATTAATGGGTTAATGGTTAAAACTGATTATCATGGGAAGGGACTGGCAGCTTTATAAGAAGAGGAAGAGAGAGCCCAGCCAGCACCTCAGCCCCCTTGCCATGTGATGTCCTATGCGGCCTCTGGACTCTGCAGAGTGTCCCCAGCAGCAAGGGGGCCCTTACCAGATGTGGCACCTCAACCTTGGACGTCACAGCTTCCAGAGCCATAAAAAATAAATTCCCTGTCTTTGTAAATTACCCAGTTTTAGGTACTGTTACAAGCGAAAGAGTTGGACAACTACGTTACCACAATTTCTAAAATAAGGACAAATAAAAGCGCATTTGACCTAAGACCTAAAGGATGAACATTCCTCCCAAGAAGAAGGTATTCTGGGCAGAGGGAACAGTGTGAGTCTAGCCTGGCAGGCCAGAGGCCCTGGGTGTCCCAGGAAGGGGCAGGCGCTGAGGCCAGAGAGGTTGGGAGCGGCCCAGCCACGAGGCTGCCTGAGACTCAGTCTCCCCACCCACAATGTGGGGATGCTGCCGCTCACTTCACAGAGACAAGGTACCACATCAGCTCAGCAGACGGGGTCTGCAAAACAGGAGGAAAAACTCCCAGCCAGGGCCTTAGTTTCTCTGAGGTACAGATGTTGGTGGTAGGTTTACATTTGGGGGCCATAAAGCTTCCCAGAACTAAAGCAACCCCACCCCCACCCATCCCTCAAAATGGAAAGAGAATTGCTTTCCCTACAGCCCGGGCGGGCCACCCCCGACGCAGCCCAACAGAGAACTTGGCCACCAGGGCCCGGATGGAGCAATGTTCCTGAGTAGCCACCAGAGGGCGCACCGTACCCGCCAACCCAGCGTGTCTCCCGCTCTGGACCAAGGACGGGCAGGAAGGGTGACTATCCTGGGACACGTTCCTGGGCCAGGGGCTCCAAGGTTATGTTGAAAGCTGTCCTCGTGCCATGAAAGACATCCTGAGCCATGGATTCGCCGCCACGGAGATGTCCGAGTTGAAAGGGGTTTAGGATGGGGACCCTTTTGCCGAGCTGAGGCCCGGAGAGCAGAAGCCAGCTGTCTAGCGTTGCTCCACAGGAAAGGGCAGAGCAGGGACTGGAACCCCAGAGACCCACATCCCTCTGCACTCGGCACCTGCTCCTGCTCTCCAGGCCCCGGACAGCTCGGCCCAGATGGAGACGAGGGGCCAAGGCAAAATGCAACCGTGGGAGGGGGCTCCAGCATCCCTGCCATCCCCAGCTCTCCCAAGATGCTGAGCCACAGAGAAACTGAGACACGGAGAGACAAAGAGGCAGAGGCTGTCTACCTCCCTCCTGAGCAGGTCAGGGCCCCAGGTGGGTCCCAGGGAGCCCCTCTCCTCCCCTCAGAGCCACGTTTGGGGACAGCCGCTGTGACCAGCCAAGCAGGCCAGGTCACTGTGCCTGAAGGCTCAAAGCCCAGCAAGACTGCAGTTTGAAGGACATCGGGGTCAGCCCACAATGGGCCCCTGGAAGGTGGTCTATGTGATGGGTCCCCAGGGCCTCCCCTGGAGGAAATGGGAACCTGAGCAGGTGTCTGGGGGCTCCCCGGCTGCCGCAGGGCCTCCCTCCCCTCCACCACCTCCCTCTTCAAATCGCAGCTGGAAAAGGCACCTCCCACCTTGGGTACAAGAACCTTCACAGGGGCCTTGACCTTCTAAGACTCTACCCCATGAAAATCAGGAGAAGCAGATGGAGATGTCCCCTGAAGCACTTTGGTGCATAATGTCATTTAATCCTCAGACTGACCCCACGGCAGATAATACGATTAGTTCATCCCATTTTGCAGCTGAGAACCCTGAAGCCAGGACAAAGAAGGCAAGTTGCTTGGCAGCTCACTCCAGAAATGCCGAGTGCCAGGCAGCATCCATGGCTCAGCCTCTGCAGCCCCTGAGCGCTCCGTCTCCCTCAGGCAGGTAGGGTGAGGGCCCGTGTTAAAGATGAGGAAAACGAGGCACAGAGAACAAACTGTCCTGTTGCTCAACCTCTTCTGGCTTCTTGTCACCTTCCAGGTGGGTGGCAAAGGCATGTTAAGGAAGTCCCTCAACTCCCCGGGGGGGGGGGGGGACAGTAGGGGGAGCCTCTGCAGGGGGCTGGAACCAATAGAAGGACCGCAGCAGCCAGGCAGGGACGTGGTTCCCCACCCCCAACACCTTACCCAGCTGCTCTCCGTTGCCTTACTCAGTGTTTGAGGCTGGAAGGCTCATGGCTCATTTTCCTAACTACCTTCCAGCCACGGGTAGCCAGGGGCATGTTCTGGCCAAGGAGATCTCGGTGGGAGTCTATGAGGAAGGGCTTCTGTTCCCAAATTTTATTTATTTATTTGTATGTTTGTTTTTGAAATGGAGTCTCACTCTGTCACCCAGGCTGGAGAGCAATGGTGGAATCTCAGCTCACTGCAGCCTCTGCCTCCCAGATTCAAGCGATTTCCTACCTCAGCCTCCCACACAGCTGGGACTACAGGCATCTGCCACCACGCCTAGCTAATTTTCGCATTTTTAGTAGAGACAGAGTTTCACCATGTTGGCCAGGCTGATCTCGAACTCCTGACCTCAAGTGATCTGCCCGCCTCAGCCTCCCAAATTGCTGGGATTACAGGCAAGAGCCACCACACCCTGGCTACTTCCCAAACTTTAAAAAAGCCTCCCAAGACCTTTAGCTTTTCCAGTGCCTCTCTGCCTGGAATGAAACGTGAGTGCTGGAGGCGCAGCAGGCAATTTGGAACTACGAGGGCAAACACCACAAGTTAGGGGCATCGGAGTTGGGAGAGCATGCACTGTGACAGTGCTGTGACATGGACAACTCCCTGGCCCCTCCCAAGGCCTTCCACAAAATGTGGCAGTTAAAAGACATGAGCTTGGCCAGGTGCAGTGGTTCATGCCTGTAATCTCAGCACTTTGGGAGGCCAAGGTGGGTGGACCATTTGAGGTCAGGAGTTTGAGACCAGCCTGGCCAACATGGTGAAACCCTGTTTCTACAAAAAATACAAAAATTAGCCGGTGCAGTATTGGCACTGAGGCAGGAGAATCACTTGACCCTGGGAGGCAGAAGCTTCAGGGAGTCTGGGTGAGAGAGCGAGACCCTGTCTCAAAAAAAAGAAAGAAAGAAAAGATGAATTTGGACCCCGCAGAATGGCTCCTGCAAAGAAGAGTGGCGAGAAGAAAAAGGGCCATTCTGCCATCAACACTGTGGTGACCTGAGAATGTAACCGCATTTTGGGGTACCAGGGAGACACAGCTCCCCTGAGAGAATGTTGTAGGTTCCTGGTATCTCACCCTGTTAAGAATGAAAGAGGGGACCACGGCAGGTGCGCAGTGAGCTTGTACAGTAAATACCAGACCCAAGAAGTGTTGCAGAAAAGTTATTTATTTAGGAGAAGAAAGAGACAAAAAGGAGGAGAAGGGCGAAAACTTCCACAGAGTGTGGAAGGGAACTCCAGAGGGGAAATCTAGGCGAGAGAAAGACAGCTTCCACCAGGATGGAAGGGGATCCAAACATGGAGTCCACAGGGGTGTGGAAGAAGAAGGCTTTAACCTGGGGGGAACGCCCACCTTCTCCTGGACCTGTGGCCAATGACAGGAGTTCCTTAGAAGTTCCGCCGGAGTGATTGACTTTTTTATTCTTCCCGCGCCTGCGAAATTCAAACATAAACCGTTTAATCTCCCGGATGGGGAGAGACGGGAGTTGGGCATGGCGCTGGGAAATTCTTGCCCTTAAAACTACGCCCCTTTATGGACCCGGAAGCAGAACGCATTCCCTCAAGAACACACCATCGGGCCGGGCGCGGTGGCTCAAGCCTGTAATCCCAGCACTTTGGGAGGACGAGGCGGGTGGATCATGAGGTCAAGAGATCGAGACCATCCTGGTCAACAAGGTGAAACCCCGTCTCTACTAAAAATATAAAAAATTAGCTGGGCATGGTGGCGTGTGCCTGTAATCCCAGCTACTCAGGGGCTGAGGCAGGAGAATTGCCTGAACCCAGGAGGCGGAGGTTGCGGTGAGCCGAGATCGCGCCATTGCACCCCAGTCTGGGTAACAAGAGCGAAACTCTGTCTCAGGAAAAAAAAAAAAAACACCATCGACATTCGCATCCATGGAGCAGCCTTCCAGAAGCCTGCCCCTCGGGCACTCAGAGAGAGCCGGAAATTTGCCATGAAGGAAACGGGAACTCCAGATGTGCCCACTGATACCAGGCTCAACAAGGCTGTCCGGGCCAAAAGAATAAGGAGTGTCCCATACCGAATCCGTGTGCTGTGGTCCCGAAAACGTAATGAGCATGAAGATTCACCAAATAAGCTCTCTACTCAGGTTACCTATGTACCTGTTACCACTTTCAAAAATCTACAGACAGTCAATGTGGATGAGAACCAATTGCTGACCGTCAAATACACCAGATAAAGTTATAAAATTGCCGGGAGAAAAAGACATAAGCTTCCGTGCCCCTCCCCCCACCAAGTCAGATACTATGGGCGCACTGCAGGGAGCTTAGGAGAGTGGGCTCTGGAGCGTGTCTGCCGGGGCCCCCAGCTCACGCCTTGCATGAGAATTCGGTGATCGTCACCTGTCTCCCTTCTCGGGGCTGCTGCACCTGCCGTGGCGGCTCCTCATGAGAGCTGCGCTGCTGTAACAGGCTCCTTGGAGGGCGGGAGCAGGAAGGGACTAGGGGGAGCAGGGAGAGCCGAGCGAGCACGTGGAGGAAGGAAGATCAGTGACATCACAGACGCAGGTCTGTGAGCACCAGGGCTCCTGTTCTGTGGCCCTCAGATGGTCCCACGAATCTGCAGGCAGATAAATCCCAGCTAGCCACTTCCTGCCCTCTCAAAGAAGCCCTTTGTCTGGTGAATATCAGAGGCTACTTCCGGCTCCACAAGGGCCTGATCAAATGGAGACAAAGGACCTACACACCGGCCTGAGAGGCCCCAGGGGGTGCCCACCAGCCCCCAACTTCCGCAGGCCGGGTGGCCAAGGGGGGGGCCCTGCAGCCTGGCTGAGATCAGAGGCCACAAGGACAGTCAGCCACGGCTACTGGGAAGTCAGTGGAGGACCCGAGATAAGGGAGTGGCAGGAAGGGAGTCAGCAGGGACCGGAATCAAAGACTCCAGAGGGCCCCTTTCAGGAACCAGAGGGCATTTTTTAAAAATAAATAAATAGAGCGCTGGAAGCCTTCTGTAGCAGCCCATCAGCCTCAGGCTGACTCAACTCCAGCCTGCCCCCAGCCCACCAGGCCTCAGGCTGCTCACCTTCAAGCAGCCTTGTGTGGGTTCTCCAAATGCAGGCAGCCCTGCTCATGGCTGGGGACTTTGCCCCTGCCGTTCACCCTGCCAGTGGAATTTTCCACCAACTGTCCACATCCCAGGCTTCCTCCTTCCTTTAGGGCTTTGCTCTAGAGATGCTTCCTGACCCCTGACCCCTCTGCCACATTCTCCAATCTTCACCCTTCCCTCTCCCTCTGGAGCCTGCTTCGACTGGGCTTTCGTCCTCATGTCTCTTCCCAAGGTTACCCATGGCCTGCATCTGGCTGGACCCAACTGTCAAGTCCCCCGGGGTGTAGGCCACGGCAGCAGCCCCTGACATGGGGTGGCTCCATCTCCTCTCTGTCCTCAGCAGCTTCTCTCTGGTTTTCCTCCTGCTTCCCAGATCCTCTGCTGGTGCCTCCTGGCCTCCCTGACCTCCTGGGAGGCCCCGGTCCTGTGCTTCACCCTCACTCCCTCTTTAGATGATCCACGAAGTCTCTGGCTCCCACCACCTCTGTCTCCCTGACCCACCCCTCCGGCCCCAGCTTCTCCCCAGAGCACAAACTCCTATATCCTCCTTCAGTTCCAGGAGTCCACGCAGCTGAGTGACAGCATCTCATAGCCCAAACTCAGCCCCGGTGGGCGGCCCCTGCCCCAGACATGCTTTCACGGCACCCCCAGCTCTTTGGGTAATGATGCCCCCTCGCTCATCCTCCACCCTGTTTCTCCGACACCCCACGCCTGCAGGCCCAGGATCCCACCCCTTCCACAGCTCCTGTTGCTACCAGCCTCAACCCGCCAACTTCTACCCTTGTCCCCTTCAAAATGCTCCCGTCCAGTCCTTCCCAGTAACCCCCAACTCAGGGTAAAAAGCCAGCAAGTGTGCAGCTGCCCCCGAGCCTTCTGCTGTGACCTCTTGAATCTCCTCCCCTGCCCCTCGCCCCTCACTCCAGCCACAGGGCTCTCCTCACCAGTTCTCAAACATTCCAAGCTGCTCCCAGCTCAGGGCCTGTGCATTCGTGTTACCCCTGCAAGGCTCACTCCCTCACATCAAAATATCACTGGATCAGGGAACCCCAAAACAGCACCCCACAGGACTCCCCACCTCCTCCCCCAGATCACTTTCCTTCATCTCATGCTTCCCCAGCTGGTGGCCTCCCACAAGCAGCCAGCTCCCTGAGGAGGAGGACTACACCTTTTCCTGTTCAATGTCAGCACAGAGGTCATGCCTGGCACACAGGAGGGGTTCCAGAAACACTGGTTGAGTCTGAGAATGAATGAGCTGAGCTGAGTGTTGAAGGCTACGTGAGCCTGCCAGGCAGGTGGCGGGAAGGGATGCTCCAGGCAGAGGGAACAGCATAACAAGGCAGAGGCGCAAAAGGACACAGCATGTCCGAGGAGGCAGGGAGTGGTGCTGTGCAGAGCAGAAGGACGAGGGTCCAGGCCTGGGGCGTTTAGGGCTGTGGAGTCAGGCAGGGAGCCTGGTCAGAAGGGAATGTGTTTGCTCTTCCTTTCATTCATTCATTCATTGAATATTTATTTGCTTGTTTGTTTGGTTTGTTTGTTTGAGACAGAGTCTCACCCTGTCACCCAGCCAGGAGTACAATGGCAACCTCCACCTGCCTGTGTAACTGGGATTACAGGCACCTGCCACCACATCTGACTAATTTTTTGTATCTTTAGTATAGACCAGGTTTCACCATATTGGCCAGGTTGGTCTCGAACTCTTGACCTCGTGATCTGCCCACTTCTACCTCCCAACGTGCTGGGAATACAGGCATGAGCCACTGTGCCCAGCCTCATTGAATATTCACTAAGCCCTATAAGAAGTCTTGCTCTTCCCATCTAAAGGGATAAGACTTGACCTTGAAGGTACTTGGGAGCCATTGAAAGATACAGCAGGGGCAGCACACCTCACTGCTGGTCATAGGATGGAATCTCAATATGCCCCCAGACCCTCCCCCACCCCCAGGGGTGCCTGCTAAGCCACAGCTTCCATTCCAAGGCAGCATTGTGGAGTTCTGGGGAGAGTATGCCCACCGAGGTTTCTCCTGGCAAGGCCGCAGAGCAACTGAGTCTCCACAACAGCCAGCCTGTCCACCTGCGACCCCCTCAATGTGTGAGTCAAGTGGCCCGGATGGGGGCTGTGAGCCTCCGAGTGGGAAGAACCTCAGATAATCCAACCCTTCGTTTTCCAGACGGGGCTACTGAGGCCCACAGAAGACAAAGGACTTATTCAAGTTCCCACCGTGTCTCAGACAGAACTCTTGTTTGCAAATGACAAGCACCTGATTCAGATTGCCTTTTTGGAAAGGAGGAGGGATTCGGCTCACATGACCAGGATGTTGAAGAATGAGCTTCAGGTGTGGTTGGATCCAGGCTTTCCTTCGGACACATGCTTCCCCTTCGACAAACACTTGCCATGGGTCTGCAGGACTCTCAGTGGCCATGCCTGGGGATAATGTGTTACTCCTGGAGTGGGGTTGAGGCGGCGGGGTAGTGTCAGCCCCATGTGGCACCCTGGGACTGAGAAGAGGGTGGGATCCTAAAGGAAAATTGGAGTGCTGGTCCAAGAACAGGGATAACAAAAGCTGATCCCCACACCCAGGAGCTCAGGGATAGAACCCAGACCAGATCTTCACCACCCAACTCCAAACCCAGCACCCATCCTGCTTCCCCAGACTCCCTCAGGAAGATGAACTAGTCACCAGTGTAGAGGCTGGAGCCACAGGCAGGGGACCAGGGAAGAGGTTGTCCAGGTGAGAAGGCAGTGAGCCCCTTGGAAGAAACTCATCAATCTCCTAACTCCCAACTCACTTTCCCACGTCAGCATTTTGCTGAGGGAAACATCTGTCACTTCTTCAAGATGAATAACACACCAACACCATTATTAATGTATTCTTAAGTGGTGTTTAGAATCCACTTCATTCTAACTAAAATGACATACATCTTTGCTGACTTGTTCAGACCCCAGAGACCTGGCACTGCGTGGCTGCTGCCCAGACTGGGCGGCCCCTGAGTATCCCCCCCTCAAAGCAAGTAGCACAGGGCCAGGCTCACAGCAGCCTGACTAACAGCAGGAGAATACAGCGAGAGAAACCTGATGCCAGCGAGGGCCAGTGACGGGAATAACGCAGGCTGCTGCTGGAGGGCATGTCGGAGTCATGATTTTGGAAAGTCATCTAGCAGAGTACTTTTACTGCCTAAAAAGGTACACGCTCCTCCCACCTCTGGAAAGACCTCTTAGAGATATGTAACTGGAGATGTGAGAAAAGCTTTGAGTGCCAAAGATGTTCATCAGCGCATTGTTTATAACAGAGAGAAATTGAAACTTACCCAAGTATCCAACCAGGCTGTTTGCATAACCTGAAATGGTTATGCAAACTCAGGCAGGCCCACTCTATGGGACGTTCTGTGTCTATTCAAAAATGTGGCCTTCAAAAATTATTGTCTTAAGATTATTTGATGGGAAAAAGTTGAGGCTTATGAAAGCCCATGTCAAAAGAACGATTTTTAGCATCAGAGGAATGTCCCAGAGTTCCACGGCCAGAAGCAGCACGGAGATACACAAAGCCCAGCAGGTCCTCAGCAGCACGTGTCTCCGCAACCCCACAAATCCCCCTGCTTCTCTCTGGCTGCAGAGTTCTCTCTCTCTCTGCAACCCAGTCCCACTGCTCTATCCCTGGAGCCTACCCACTGCTCCAGCTCAACCTCACAGCTGTTTCATTTCAACTTCTCCTCCTGTTGAAAGAAAATGAGAGGAGGAGGAAGGAAGAAAAAGAAGGAGGGAGAAAGAGAAGGAGGGAAGGAGAAAAAGAGGGAAGGAATGAGGAAGAGAAAGAGGAGAAGAGGAAGAGAGGGAGGGAAGGAGGAAGAGAGGGTGGGCAGGGAGAAAAGACAAAGAATTTCTGGAAGGGACAACTGAATTAGCTCAGCTTTGATCGAGTGACCGCCCCCCAGTCCTATCAGCTGTGCTGGCCCAGGAGGGCTTTCCATAGCACAGCAGGCTCCCGGTATTTTGGGTGGGGTAAGGCAGGATGAAATGACTGACGTCCCAAATCCTAGTACGTAATTGCTGGATGTATTAGTTATCTATTGCTGAATAACAAATTAGTCCCATGCTCAGTGGTTTAAAACAGCACTTATTATGTCACAAAGGAGCTGAGAAGTTTTTCTGGGTGGCTGTGACCCAGGGTTTCTCAGGAGGCTGCAGTCAGCACGTCAGCCAGGGCTTCCGTCTTCCAAAGGCTCAACTGGGCTGGGGACTCTGCCTTCAAGCTCCCCACGGGGCTGTGGGCAGCAGGCTTTCATTTCTTGTTGGCTGTTGGGGAGAAGCCTACATTTCTCACCCCACAGGCCTGTCAGTAAGGCTGCTCAGGACAGGACAGCTAGCCCTGCAGAGCAAATGACCTAAGAGAAAACAACACAGAAGCCGCAGCATCTCTCATAGCCCAGTCTCGGAAGTGACACCTCATCAGTGCTTCCATATTTTATCTGTCACACAGATGCACCCTGGAACAGTGTTGGAGGGGATGACAGAGGCA